TGCGACCTGTGAGGGCTTAGGTGCTGCCATCTTCCCTCTGGGTAGATGGAAGTCATAGCCTGAGTGCAATTTTGGTTGAAAACAATCCACAGTCTAGATTTATAGGTTTGCCACATATTATTCAGATACCATGAATTCACACAAAAACTAAAAGGAAAATATTATAATCTTAGTGACCACTATTAATGGGCAAAGGAAATATGTGATCCATATAAGATTAAATATGAATGGCTTAAGAGTATATGACAATTTCACTAGTAATTAAAGAGCTGGAAATTAAGACCATTTATTTCATTTTTAATAAAATTTCCATAATTTTATGAAGAAATAATATTTTATATTGTCCAGGTAAAGAATGAAATAATCAATCTCATCTATTCATGAAATCTTTGTTAGAATTTTTTTTTAAAAAAAGTATTAGGAGCCTCAAAAATATGTGTATTCTTTGTTTCACCCATTTAGGATTATTTTACCAAGATACAACCGGAAAGATGTTCCATTTTTAAAAATGTAATATGACTTAAATCTAAAAATATTCTAAATGCATTAGAGACTCATTTGACATTGTCATGCAATGAAATATTATACCACATTTAAAATCATAATTATAAAAATGTATATAATATGAGAAAATTTCTATAAGTTAAAAAGAAAACAAATGAAGGATTTAGCATTTTAATTGGTTTTGTGACCTCAACTATATTAGAAATTTCTTTAAGTACTGGGAGATATGTACAAAATGTTTATTGCATTTTTCCTGCATTAGGATCATGAATAATATTTTTTGTGACTCCCAAACATTTAGAATGCTAAAAAAGAAATTATGTATTTGTACAATATGCTCTGTGCATTTATTATATATATATATATATATATATATATATATATATATATATATATATATATAATCTAAATAATAAGAAATCTCAATTTGAATGTAGCAGTGTTAATTTTGCTTTAGTAAAACTATTCAACACTGAGATAAAAAGGCAATAAAATAAAACAAGATATGAATAAAAAGCCTGAAATTCCACATGGGAAATTTGAAAACAAGAAAGTGAAAAATAAAAAGTGAAAATATTTCATTGAACAAGAAAACATGTCAATTTAAGAGAGAAGAAGTAAAATCTTCAACCCAATAAGCATAAGGCAGCTCTCTTAGAAAGCTCAGAATATATACAGATGGTCCTCTGTTTACAATGAGTTGATTTAGGATTTTTCAACTTGATGATTGTGGGAAGGTTTACACATATAACCATTCTGTTTTCCATTTCAGCGCAGAATTCAATAAGTTACATAAGAAAGTAAACAACTTTTTATAAACTAAGCTTTGCGTTAGCTATTCTGCCCAACTGCAGGCTAATGCAAGTATTTTGAACATACTTAATGAAGGTAGGCTGGAGTAAATTATGTTTGGTAGGTTAAATGTATGAAATGCAATTTTTGCTTAAAGATATTTTAAACTTACAATGGGTTTATTAAAATGTAACCCCATGGTAAGTGAATGAGTTTCTCTGTGTTTGTGTGTACATATGAATATATACAAAATGTAATATACATATATAAAAATATGGATCAATAACTGAAATTACAAGTTTATCTATTTAAATAAACATCTTTCAGGCTAAGACAGCTCAATTTGAGGATTTTGATAAATATTATTAATTTTTAGTTATTTTTCTTCTGAAAATAGAATTTTTCAGGAGGAAGGAAAATGTGCTAAATTTAACACCCTCAAGGAAGAGTATTTTTATTGCTGTAATTAAGTATAATCAAAAAGTTGGAAATTATGCACCCAGAGGTTGAAGGCTGATTTAATACTCATGAAACAAAGCTCAGGCTATGATTTATGAATTAAGTAATTTTCTCTGGTGATAATGTTTCTAGAAAAATTGGAGCAATGAGAAAATTTAAGTGTGTGGGGAAAATAATTTAAAAGGAAACATAGATAGGGCCTGATCTAGTTTTCCTTCCCCAGCCTGTGCTGCGAGTGAAGCTACTTCTCAGCCCCTGTCACATTACATATGTGAATTTTAACACAGCCCTTCAGTCGCTAATTGTCCTTGGACCAGACTCAGAGCACTTTCGAACTTGAGTTTTCCTTTAAAATACATCTGTCATAAGTGGTTCAACTCTTATTCATGTTTCTTATTCATTTTTAACTTATTTTTTTAACAATTTCATCTCAGTTTTGAATACATGGTAGAATTGTACTTCTTTGCCTTCTAGTTCAGGTTCCATGGTAACATTGTCTAAGGGGGTGTGAGAAGCAGAATACAGGTTACCTGTGTAATAAAATATTTCTCCTCTCATGGCAAGCAGAAAAAATGTTGAGGTTGCTATGTTAGCAAATGTCCCAGAGTGCTGTCAATGTGGGGCACCATACATGACAAGCATACATTGCATGACAAGAAATAAACTTCGTTGTTTAAAGCTACTAAAATTCAGTATGTATTTGTTATTACAACATAACCCAGCCTGTATCAACTAATATCTAGCTAAAATATTAAGCAATAGGGAATTGGTTGAATTATTTATAATGTAACATTACTTGGAATATTTTATGATCATTCATTAAAAATTTTAATGTCATATTACATTTTAATGCAAAAAGATGATTACAATATATTACTGAAAAACGTTTACATTTTTATAGATACAAACATAAACATATTTAAAAATATTTAGGTATAAATATAGATATTTATATAGATATAATTATAGACAAATAGATAAAATGGACTGTTAGTCACTTTTTTTTTCCACTGTGACAAAATACCTGAGAGAATTAGCTTAAAAGGAGCAAAGAACTGTTTTGGCTTATTTATGTAGGACCCATGAGGCCAGACACCCAAATTAGCAGGTTTATTATCTACAGTGGTCCAGAGAGCTATTGCCTAAAATTCTCTGGACCATGAATCTGGAAATTCTTTTAGATTTATTCTCAGTGCAGTGGCTATATGACAGTGGGTGGAGTCATAACAGTTACCACTCGTTCCATATTTTTAGGCTAGGCAGAGGATTAACAAGTTTGTTTTTCTGCAAACCTGGAATTTACCAAAAAGAGGAAGCTACCAACCACAATGACCTCTGTAGAAGTCTTTGCTAATATCCTGTTGATTCCCTTAGTAAAAATCTTTCTGGGGTCTTTGGTGTGTATGTGTGTGGGTAACCTGGTCTGCTTCATTATGGTTCCAGTGGCTTCAGTTTCGTTCCCTTGCTTTGGGTCTGTGACACCAAGTTTGTTATAATGAGAGCATGTGGTAGAGTAGGGCTCTTCACCTCATGGTGGCTAGCAGCAAAAAGAATGAAAAGAGGAGGCTAGGGTCTGAACATCCCTTTCAAAATTGTACCCCAAATGACCTATTTCCTTGCATTAGGCTCTACCTGCTAAAGATTCTACCACCTCCTGATCAAATGCCAGGGACTGGGGACCAAGCCTTCAACACATATGCCTTTGGGGTACATTCAAAACTCGAACTATAACAATCTGCTCCTGGCTTCTAAAAGCTCATGTCCCTCTCATATTGCAGAATCCTTCCCCAAGATTTACTCCAATCTCAAATATTCTTCATTTCACAAAAGTCCAAGTCAAAAGGGACCTCTAAGACTCAAGGCAAACTCTTCGCTGTAAACAAATTAACACAGTTCTAAGATACAATAGAGGGGAAATGTTTCCATATAAAAGGGAGGAAAAGGAAAATAGTCCAGAGGAATCAGATCCATGCAAGATAAAAATGAAACAGTGGAGACATTAAATCCTACAACTCATGGCCAGTATCTGAGGTACACATTGTGATGTGAACTTCAAAGACCTTTGTCAGCCTCATCCCTCTGACTTGGTTGGCCTTGCTTTTGGGCTGCTTGCTTCCTGCAGCTCTCTTTACCAGGTGTTCCATATTCCTGGCATCTCTATCTTTCTGGGGTCTTCATTACAGCTTCTGCTTCACTCTCATGGTTCTATGAATCACCCTTTCAGGGTCTACTTTCAGGGAATCCAACCCCACAACATGTGGCTGGCCTCCCAGGCTTTCCTTTGAAATCTTGATAGACATCTCCATGACACCACTAAATCATTCTTCATACCTGTAAAACTGGCATCGTGTGGATGATGCCAAGATCTGCTTTTGACACAAGCTATACCAGGAATCACTTTAACCATGGCTTCAATGTCCTCTGAGTGCCTTGACAGCTGAACACATGAAACTAATCTCAGGGAAACAATTCTTTAGGCTGTCCTGTGAGAAAAGGGTGCCCCAAGGCTCTCTTCCAAAAAGATAAGTCCTTGAAATAAGTTTACACTTTTATATTCTTCAGCCTCATGGGTGGGATCTTTCAGATTCTTGAGATCATTTCAAGGGATATTTTTTATGGTTCAGTACAAAGTACTTGACTTCTTCTTTTCTTTTTTTTCCCTAAAATTATATTTTTCCCTTTCACATAAAAAATAGAGAAACTTTGAGTCAAAAATATATGCTAACTTTCTACAAACAGTGTAAAAGTTGTTGTTGGGTTTCTTTTTTTAATGCTTAACATTAGACAAGATTATTTAAAGTCAATAAATCTTTTTTTTAAAGAAATTTTTACGTGTAAGTTTTTCACTGTTTATCAAGGTCACCTTTGTTCCTCTAAAGCTGAAGTTCAAGGTTTATCTTCAAGAGAGCCCCTTTTGAAAGAACTGATGCTTTAAAAGAACAGATGTACCATCATCCTATAATTCCTTCTTTTATTTCCATTTGAATTATGGACATAGTGGTGATGACTTCAGGATGCTCCATCTAGGATATTTGGTATCTAATTTCTTCAAGATTGACTCTAGGATCACTGTTAGGGTAGATGGATCTTCCTGGTTCTTAATTGCTGACAGTTTCTCTAAATATGAACAAGCTCAAATCATATTCATTCCTAACCTATCAAAATGAGAAATAGTACAGATCTGCAGTAAATATGGATACCTTTCTGCTTGTTGATCCCCCATAACTTTAAATTGTCTCAGTAATAGTATCTGTGCTGATATGTATCAAAACTTAAATTGAACAATGAGTTCTGGGTTATAAAAGAGAATTATTTTTTGTAGCTATTTGTCTTTGTCTACAAGTTAAACAAAAACATACACAAATGCTACTTGGTTTGTTTTTAATGGCCATGGCTTCTTTAGCAACTTCATTCCCCTTGGACAGAACCTCACATGCACTTCTTTTCTGGTCAAAATGTAGGTTTTTCAAATCTTCCTGTCCTGCTCTTTACTCCTGATTTTCACTGCAAATCTGGTTAAAAGCATCCAGCAATTCCCATACCACAGTCTGAATACTGTGATGCCTCAAGATTTTCTACACCAGACAAAATATTGCCATAACTTTAAACTCAACCTCCTACAAAGTCTCAGGGCATGCACCAAATGTAGACAAGGTTTTTGTTTTGTTTTGTATTTGCCAGAGTATAACACAGATGGTCTCTAATCCAATTCCCAATGTGAGATAAGAATTTAGGATTACAGAGAAAAAGCTAAGTCTTGAAAGAGAAAATACCCATGAAACTTTAGAATACATGAAATTCCCATCAACCATTGGGTAAATAACTCACCAGCAACCCTGCCCTTCTCCTGGCCCCTGTGTCCTTGACTGCAGCTTGACAGTGGGATGAAAAAGCAATGAAACTGGAATATAAGAATAAGGTCTCTGAAGGAATCACTCCTTAGTGAGAATACACATCAAAGACTTTGGTAATCAAGCCATTGTAATAGTAAGACACTCATCCCCAGGTGGAGACTGAAGATACTAATGAGAGATGCAATATAGGAAGCAGCATTATTAGAACATGAAAGGGCAATGTGCAATCACAAAGAAAACTGTCACAAATTGCATAATCCTGTCCTGACTCCACTTCTAGTCCAGCCCCTTATCTATTCTATACATATTAAACTCCAAATTAAGATGGAGCTATTCACTCTCTCTGTGATTGCCTGCACTCTCATACTTGAAAGTGTACTGTCCCTTTACAATAAATCTCTTGCCATACTACATGTTGACAGGCCCTTAAATTCTTTTCTGCAATGTATCAAGAGCCTGGGAGGCCTGATTAGAGGCCTGATCTGCCTCTAGGGAATCCTCCTTGGACACACTTATGGTAACAAATAAAGTCTTTGTTTCCTTATAAGATCTCATGAACTCAGCTTCTACCTACTGCCTGCTGCTCAACCAAAGTTCAGGAGACAGAAGTTGTTGATGGAAAACAGGCTTATTCAAAGCTAGCCATCCCCGAGGAAGATAGAGGAGAGCATTTTTTTTCCCTCAAGTCTCTATATTTTGGGGGCTGTAGGGTTCAGAGACATGAACAGCTTTTATGAGAGAAAAAAGGTAATAGAGTGGGACAAAAGGCACGAAATCAATGGGGAGGTCATCTTCCAAGAGCACAACAGCCTCTGTCTGCAACTGCCTGCCACCTCTTCATTACACCAAAGGGAAGTTCAACCTCCTGGGGCCAATATTCGCATTTTATTTTCCAATAGAAGTGTTATCTTTGAGTTCAGGAAAAGAGAGCATTATAGAGGGCTATCTTTAGAATTTAGAATATCATATGCAAGAGGTAGACAAAAATGGTGGAGTGGGGGGTGATTAGGGAAAAGGTTCAGACAGGATAAAGTTGGAAATACCTTTTAAAAAAATCTTCCCAAGGGAATCAAAGAAAACAATTTTATTTATTTACTTATTTATTTATTGAAAATAATTTTATTAAAAAAATAAAAACTGAATTGCTCTCTAACATTTTCACAAACAAATTACACATGCTTCTCAGCCATACTATCAGGCATAATAACAAAACTGGCTCCATTTGTTGATACCCATTTAATTTTCTATGTTAGCTTCTGTCACTGTGACCAAATATCTGAGAAAAATCAACTTGAAAAGGAAATCAACTTTAATATTTATATTGGTTTAGAGTTTCAAAGTTTTCAGTCTATTTCACATGGTTCCACTGTTTAGGCCTGTGGTGCCCAAGAACATCATGGCAGGAGTATGTGGTGAAGGAGGCCTATTTCCTTCACAGCAGTCAAGAAGCAAAGAGAAAGAAGTGAAAGGGCAGGATCCCAATATCCCCTTCAATGGCATGTCCCCAGTGACCTAATTTCCTTCCACAAAGTCCTGCATCCTAAAGATTTTTGTGTGCAGAGGTTTCTCTTCTTGTTGAGTGTGAAGTCAATGAGCATGACTGAAACCTAGAAGAATAGAGAAAAATTATTACCTGCAGCAAGTAAGGAGAGCACTGGAGTTATAAAGCAAGGATCTTGAGAAATGGAAGCATGGGGATTTTTTCAGGGAACCTTATATATACTCATATAATAATAAACTCAGGAACAGCCGCTGAGCATGCTCAGTTTAAGGTCATAGTTCAAGAAGGAAAGATGACAGACACATTTCTGGGTATGCTTAGCTCAAGGTCATAGGGCAAATGTCCAAAAGATTAAGTTATCAGAGACGAATGCTTTGGGGCATGCTCAGTTCACGGCATTGCTCATAGTGCAATGACCAAAGTTTACCCTCGGAGCCTAAAAGAGTTAGAGAGGCTTAGGGATCTTGCTAGTTCTTCATAATTTTATTCAGAAAGTTTAAGGAGAACCAAAAGGAATGAACACTATGAAGTTGCATTAATGTAGGAATTTACCTGTAAAGGTGCCTGCTTTGTTCCACTTGGTAATAATTCTGTCACCTCCCAATAGTGCCATAGGCTGGTGATGAACATATGGGCCTTTGGGTGCACTTAAGTCTCAAACTATAAAATAGTTTTATTTTAAAATATTTAATGCAAATTAGCATGCTTTTATTTGTATAAAAAAGGATTAAAAGGTTTTATACTAAATATTATATTGTGAAATATATGCCAAAAATATTAGCTAAGATAACAGGTTAATATTTCCATAAGTGATATTTTCCCTTATGGCTTAGTTTTCTACTCTATTATTTTCTACAATGACTATATAAAACACAAATGAAATAAAAAATTTTAGGAAGAGAACAAAATGTTGGGAGTGGGCTATAGTATGCCAAATGCTTTCTGCATAGCTATATTAAAATTTCCCAGGTCCTAATATTGAATAAATGTCAATAAATGTAAAAAAAAAACAGTTTCCCAGTTCCCAGTACCCAAATCAAAATGTGCAATAGATGTACTTGATAAAAATTGGAAGATATTATTCAGAGGTAAAAGGGCTGTTCCACTGACAGTTATAATTGTCATAACTTGAAATTTCTTGTCTTCAGTTGAAAGACAAGGGTTTCAATTATAGAGGAAAAAAAGTCTAAAAATGTGACTTCTTCCTACCATGACAATAAGACTTGACAAGAAGTAGTTGCCCTTAGGCATTTCCTGATCTTGTTATTTTTCTCTTTAGAAATGGCTTAAACAGCCCGCTCTACTGAACAACCCCTACAGGAGACATCTGACCTCATCTGTTTGCACTAAGTCTCCATTAAAATAAAAGCTTCTGGGACTTAAAAAAAAATCTGCCTCAGGATGTCCATGTTGGTCACATTTTAGGGCAGCGTTCATTAAGTAAGGTTTAAAACCTTCTAGAAACTCTAGCAGCTAGCAACTCTGGGAGAGATTAGTTAATTTCCTGTGTTGTCCCAATGCTTAAACACTCTTGAGTCATTCTGATACCCCTATAAACTGGACTCAAGGCCCACAGAGAGAATATCTACAGAGCTGGATTTTTGGGTGCTTCTCTTGGGCTCAAGGGCACAAGATTAATGAAGTGTAATGTAGCCCATTACTCTGTTAGAGTCAGTTGAGGAGAATTGCTTAGAGGTTTCCTTTGACAGAATGTTATTCAGCTGATGTGATAATGATGTCAATGCACTTTCTCCCCCTTTGAAAATGTCTGAAGTTGTTTCAGTCGTGCTAAAAATCAAAATCTGAAAACTCCCAACTCCTATTTTTCTAAGGGTTAACATAGCATTCTGTCCTTTAGAATATTGCTCTGTAAAGGTATAGATAGGACACTCATTTTTATACCTAAGTAAATCAGAATTATATGGCTTTACATAGTATTCACAACATTTGTGAGTCCCCCCCCCCCCAACCAGTTAATAGTGTTGTCTAATTGTTTATCAAAAAATCCAAACTGTGGGATAGACCTTGGCATTGTGTTGTGGTAGTCAGAAAGCTAGATGCTACTGTATTTTTCACAGTTCAGCTGTGCCTGGGGGACCTGAAAGCAGCTTGGTGCTGTTCCCAGTGCCCAGTAGGTGAAAGACTCTGCTTCCATTATCTGACCTCTCATGTAAGCCTCACCAAAGTCACTGCCTTATCTCACCTGTACAGTCAGGAGTGAGAGAAAGGCCTGGGCCTCCTCACAGGGATGAAGCAGAATGGAAAAGAGTGGTGTCTATTTCCAGGGGCAGTCATTGCTAAGGCCAGCTGCATCCAGCAGGGCAATAGTCTCGCCAGGATCATCAACTGTGGCGCTAATGAAGTGATGATAAGCATGTTAAAGTAAACTAAATTTGGCCTGAGGATGCCCCTACTTTGAGTCCCTATGTAACAAACTGCAGACTAATTTAGTATGTGAAAGTAACCCTCTGCTTACTTTAGGAATATAACAAATAGCTGGGTGTCAGCCAATCCTAGCAGCCAAGCTTCAGTCAATTACAGGGTACCAACTGACAGACCATGTTCAGACAAGGCAAATGCAGAGATCTAGCCAATTAAGCTGTCTCTGTACCTCACTCCAGCTTTCCCATCCATAAATGCAGCCTGCCCTACAGTGGAGCAGAGCTCTGAACCTCTTCTGGTTCTGAGACCTGCCCTATTTGCAAATCATTCTTTGCTCAATTAAACTCTGCTAAATTAATTTGTCTAAGGTTTTTCTTTTAACAAGTATGAAGTGGGAATGGAAAAGAAATAAAAAATATGAGCTATGTTTCAGATCTATAATCAGCTGGTACCTCATCAGGTAAAGGAAACGTCAAGTCTGATTCCTAAGTTTTTTTTTTTAAATCATATATGATTATGACAAAACTATAAACTGAAATAAAACTCTAAAGGTTTCAATTTGAGAGGAAGATATATTCACTTTGAGAAACTTCAATTTGAGGTGCCTCTAGGATTTCCAAGCTGTGAATGG